AAAGAGGGGAGGGGAGTAGAAGTCAGACACGGCAAAGGAAGCGATAGAAAGGAGAGGTGAGAGAGAGAGAGGAGAGAGATGAGAGAAGAGCCGCGGCGTACCCGCGAGAGGAGAGAGAAGAGGAGAGAAGAGAGAGAGAGAGAGAGAGAGAGAGCAGAGAGAGAGAGAGAGAGAGAGAGAGAGGGATAGAGAGAGAGAGAGAGAGAGTGAGAGAGAGGGATAAGAGAGAGGGAGAGAGGAGAGAAGAGAGAGAGAGAGAGAAAGAGAGAGAGAGAGAGAGAGAAGGAGGAGCGAAGCGAGAGGTCGGTAGTGTGCGTATTAGCTCCTGTACCTCACAGATGGTCTGCGTGGTGTTTCCCCCGAACGCAGTGGCCGAGCTGGCGCTGACTCCGTTGAAGTACGCTCCTTCTCTTGGTGGCACAGATCGGGGGCGTCAACCACCAACCTTACCGCCTCTATCCGCCGCCGCAGCACCGCGCCGGTCGCGCGACTCACGCGAGGCCGCTGGTCGTCATGGGGGAGGCAAAGGGTCACGCGCAGCGGTTCGTCGCCTCCGCAGCACATCGCCAGAGCGCTGCTCAGTAGACGACGCCACGACAGTACACCAGAGCGCGCTGATACTGCCGCCCCTGTGACCCGGTACGAGCCGGTGTGCGGGCCGCTCTATCCTTGCCGCTCAGGCGTGATTGACCGGGTTGTTTAATGTGGAGAGAGGCGGGCGGCGCGGACGACCCGCGGAGGTGACGGAGGGCAACGCGAACCGCGAAACACCTGGAGGCGCCAAGGGCGTAACCGCGCGTGCTACGGTTACGGCGGACGAAGCGCTCGGGGTCAGGGGTTACCACGGAGCTAGCGGGAGTGAGGACGACGAAGCGATATGGGGGGCAAGGGCGGCCAGATTCGTCATCGAAGAAAGAGGATTACAGCTGGGCACGACCCAGGTGGCGGCTGATGACTGGCGAGTTGTCGCCGGAATTGAGTCGTGCTCTGTGGATCTGGTGCATTCACAAGAAGAATGCTATAGATGGCGCTGCTAGGCATGCTACGCGTCCGTTAATCATCATTCCATGGGCGTGAGGATGGCAAAATGAAGTACTAGATTCATGATTGAGATTTGATTACAGTGCGGCACGAGCACGGCAGTTTTTCAATTTGATCTAGCGATGTTGTTTTGTGAAGGTCTATGTGTTTTCTCCCTGCTGCGTGCTTGGTTTTCTCTCTAAAGCTCATCTGTAAATAAGATGTTCATATGTCGTGTTGAATCTGAGCTCGTGCAATTATCTTATTAATTGCTCTGTTAATCATTGTTTTTGTTGTTCATGGACGTATTTTATGCGGGAGCGTTTTAAAACTAGTATGATAGTAAATGTCTCTGGTCTTTATCACAATACTTATAGGGCAATGGCCCATCTATATCTTTTGGCCTAGGTATAATTATGATACATTGGTGGCTGCTTCACACCTTAGGCTAGCTCACAGGATGCTACAATGAGTTCATTGACCACTACTATTCAAATATAGTTTTTAGGGCTTAGTTGTGAGCAATCTCTTTAGTTATGGCACATACGTCGCGCTTTTTAGTAGAACTATTCTTTAATAGACGGAACGACTGTCTTTAGTCGGAGCTGGCGTGCAGTCAGGATGCAGAAGTGACATCCGGTTAGTTAAATCTAGGCACCTCGATTTACTGCACCGACAAAATTGGTGCAATTGTCACGAAGTGCAGTAGCATAGCAGCAATCTTATCAGTTTACCGTGTGATCCTAGTGTATCATGTTCGTAGAAGTCACGGATAGTACGTTGATAATCTAATCACGTCCACGCCTATAAGATACATCGAATGTATTTAAGTGTTAACCTCCTTCGTTACTGAAGGTTAGGCGGTTAACCTAAACATCTGGTACTTGTCCATTAGTGTATTAATTTGTGGAGTGCGTTGTATATTTACGCAAATAGGATAATATTGAAACAGAGCAATAAGAACGTGTCAGAAGTATATTGATTAGTAGCGTGATTAGTTAGATTGTTGAGTCAGTATCGTGTAAAGTGTAATCGCAATTCGATAGTAAGACAAGAATTTGACAAACGAACATGACCTTCGTCGTGTCCCACAGACGGAACCTAGCCACTAGCTACCTGTAAGTGATGCTAACCTGTCCTCACACCTCACCACGTAGCCTTACCTGTATAGAGGATGCTACCTGTCTCACACCTCACCACTACGCTTACCGTGTAAGAGATGCTACCTGTCTCACCACCTCACCAACTACTACACTGTAAGAAGATGCACCTGCTCACACCTCCCACTAGTTACCTGTAAGAGATGCTACCGTGTCTCACACCATCGCACTAGCTTATCGACCTGTAAGAGATGCTACCTGTTCTCATCACACCTCGACCCCACTAGCTTTACCTGTAGAGAGATGCTACCGTGTCTCACACCTCACCACTAGCTTACCTGTAAGAGATGCTACCCTGTTCACACCTCACCACTCAGCTTAATCCTGTAAGAGATGCGTACTGTCTCACACTAACTCGCCACGTAGCTTACCTGTAAGAGATGCTACCTGTCGTCACCACCTCACCACAAGTTACCTGTTAAGAGATGCGTACCTGTCTTCCCCACACCTCACCACTAGCTTACGCTGTAATAGATGGTTACCTGTCTCACACCCTCCACTAGCTCACCTGTAAGAGATCTACCCACCTGTCTCACCCTCGCGCACTAGCTTACCTGTAAGAGATTGCTAAGCCTGGTCTCAACCTCGCCATTTAGCGTTACCCTGTATAGAGATGCTACCCTGTCTGCACACCTCACCGACTGAGCTTTACCTGTAAGAGATGCTGACCGTTCCACACCGTACCTCACCACTAGCTTACCTGTAAGAGATGCTACCTGTCTCACACCTCGCCACTAGCTTACCTGTAAGAGATGCTACCTGTCTCACACCTCGCCACTAGCTTACCTGTAAGAGATGCTGCGCAGACTTCATGTTCATCAGGTGCGTGATAACGCTAACGAGTCCGTTCTGCAGGTACGCGTCGAGGGCCGTCTGCCAGGCGGCCGGACGCTGAAGCGTGCACGCGTTGCAGTTGTAGAGCACATCCTCCGGCAGGTGTGACAGACAGTGGTACATCTCACCTGGGGCAGACGACATAACACATGATTAGACGCGCGCACGCTTGGGGCAGGCGGAGACAGTGTCATGGCTGGCTGTCCGTCTTATTCACTTATTGATTGATTTATTTGCACATTTATTTCATCACTCATTTATTAGTCTTTACTTCATGCTTTTAGTCTTGCGTTACTATTAGCAAATGCCTCATAGCAGGGGAAAAATTCATTTTTCGGGGGCTACTTTTCAAGCTCGCGTGCATGAAAATAACACTCTAAAATTTGGTTTGCATTGAACTCTATGCACATTTACGGGGGCTCTTTTTGCCATTTCCGGGGCTCTTTTTGGCATTTCGGGGGCTAAATCGCCCCGAGCCCCCGTGTATTTTTTTCACTGCCTCATAGGGGCATTACGATGACTATTACGATTACGATTATATATCATTACGATTTATATACGATTACGATTATGAACCATGGCTACAGCAGACAGCAGGGGGTGTCGGGTGAGCAATCTCTTACTTGTCATGTCTTCACAGGTGGCGTGCAGCCAGCGCAGGCAGACGGAGCATTCCACCATCTCGCAGTCGTAGTCGTCGTCCTCGTAGCATTGCTTGCACACGGGGCAGTAGTTACCTGCAAGCACGACGCGCCGGGTAGTTATACATGCAGCCTTATTACACATCTTATTATCTTACACCAGGGTACGATATTAACAGGAGTCCGGAGTCAAATACTCCATGATTTACTGTCGGGCTCCCTGATTTGACATATGCAGGAGTCCGTGTGACTCCCTGAAAATTCTGCTATTACTAACTTGGCAGCTAAAATTTGCCAG